AACCACTTCGCAGCCCCCCTCCCGCACCACCTCCCCGCTTCCTCCCCCCACCGACACCACCATCCCCTCAACCCCATCCACACACCCCGCCCGCAACACGCCCAAGCGCTCGGCCGAAGACGCCGAGTTCGAAGATCTCGCACGCATCGTAATGAAGGAGCAGACCCTCACCCGTGAGATTAATGCATTACAGCATGAGATGGATGTGCTAGAGGAGCGGAAAAGTATTTGGATGGAGAAGTGGCAGGCGCAGTTTGAGAGTGTGAATAGCAAGTTGGAGGCGGTGACGAGGGAGAGGGTTGGGGTGAGGATGCAGTTTAAGAAGCAGAGGTTGGGGGCGGCTGGGGAGGAGTAGGGTAATATTCTTTTTGGGTTGGGGAAGGGGGTTTGTGAAGAGAAGAAAGGGCATTGCATTTGTTGTCTTTTTATTCCTGATTGATATTGCTTCGTCGCATTGGCTAATACCAGTTTTGCATTCGTTGGGTGCTGTCTCGGTACAGCTGTTTTGATTTTTCGTTTTATTTTTTTTAGTCTTTATGAATTTACTGTTATGGTAACGTGTTTTACAAGCGAGCGCCGCGTACAAGCGAGCGCCGCACCCCACCAACTTTGTGCACCTCTCTCATCTCAGTACACAATGGCTCAACGCAACGCTAGTCAATTAGCTTTAAATGAAGCAGATATCCAGCTCGCTATATCCTCTATTGAATCTGGTCAGATACAGAGTAATCGCAGTGCTGCTGCTATCTATAACGTGTCAGAACGAACAATCCGCCGCCGACGCGTTGGCAAGCCTGCCCGACGCGATTGCCAGCCCAACTCAAAGAAGCTTACTAAGCTAGAAGAGCAGGTGATAATTGATCATGTACTTGATCTAGATCTACGTGGATTTTCGCCTACCTACGCAGCTGTGCGCGATATGGCTGATAGACTGTTAGCTACGCGCGGTGCTGGCCAGGTCGGCGTTCACTGGCCGCGTAACTTTGTTAAGCGTACAGATAGTCTTACGACGCGTTTCAACCGAGCGTACGATAGGCAGAGAGCTCTATGTGAAGATCCAGTCCTAATTAAGAGCTGGTTTGAGCTTGTAGAGCAGACAAAAGCCAAGTACGGCATCTGTGACGAGGACGTCTACAACTTCGACGAAGCTGGCTTTATGATGGGCAAGATCGCGACTCAGCTAGTCGTAACAGCGTCAGAGAGGAGGGGTCGACCAAAGGCAGTTGAGCCAGGCAATCGTGGGTGGGTAACGCTGATCGCAGCGATCAACGCAGCTGGCTGGTCTATCCCACCGTTTCTTATCTTTACTGGCAAACATCACCTATCTGCCTGGTACGAGGAGGCAGAGATCCCACGCGACTGGGCGATCGCAGTCAGTGACAACGGCTGGACGAACAACGAGCTAGGTGTTGCCTGGCTAAAGCACTTTAATGCCTACACGAAGACGCGTGTTGTAGGCGCTCGTCGGCTACTTATTCTTGATGGCCATGAGAGCCACCAGTCTCTTGAGTTTCAAGAGCTTTGCAAGGAGAACAATATCTATACGCTCTGTATGCCGCCTCACTCCTCTCATCTACTCCAGCCTCTTGACGTTGGCTGCTTCTCGCCGTTAAAGCGCGCGTACAGCCGTGAGGTAGAGAGCCTAATACGCAACTACATTAACCACATCACTAAGCTTGAGTTNCTGCCAGCGTTTAAGNCAGCCTTTGATCGATCCTTNACGCCAGCCAATATCCGCTCAGCCTTTCAAGGCGCAGGCCTTGTTCCTCTCCGGCCAGACGCTGTTCTATTAAAGCTGGACATAAAGCTGCGCACGCCTACTACTCCAGTAGCTGCTCTTACAGAGGCTCTCTGGCAGGCTCGTACCCCAAGCAACGTACGCGAGCTTGAAGCCCAATCAACGCTAATACGTGATCGGGTTCGGCGGCATAAGAGCTCATCACCAGCGTCAATTATTGCGGCGATTGGCCAGCTTAAAAAGGGAGCAGAGATAATGATGCTCTCGGCTGAGCTAATGCGAGATCGGATCGCCAGCCTTGAGAGGGCTAACGAGGCAGCAACAAAGCGTAGGCAGCGTAAGAAGAAGCGGATACAGAAGCAAGGAGTACTAACAAAGGGAGCTGGAGAGGATCTACTCGCTCAGCGCGAGGCTGATCAGCAGATTGCTCATGAAGAGCGTCAGGGAGGAGAGCGATCAGGTGTCAGCCGCCAGGCTTTGGCGCGCTGCAGCAGGTGTAGAGAGACTGGCCATAACTCGCGTACATGTAAAAAAGATACCTTAGATAGTACTTAATCTACTATCTTAATATATATAAAATTTATAAATTTGTGGTAGAGCTATATAGGAATAGGGGTGCGCGAAGTTGGTGGGGTGCGGCGCTCGCTTGTACGCGGCGCTCGCTTGTACAACACGTTAGTGATGTTTTATATCCCTAAATTTAATCTTTTTTATTATTAGCATTATCCTTATTGCTTTAGAAATGAGCTCAAGTCCACCTATTTCTACTTCAACTTCTAGGGATATTTCCCCAAATAATATTATATATCATATAATATAATGTACTCAAATAGTATAATAAATATTACCAATAAGATGTATGATGATAATACAGATAAGAGAAATTATATCGAACCGTGCGGTTCTTATGTCCACAAAGAAAGCCTATTCTCGCGAAAAAAGCAAGGCTATCATGAGAGGAAACATATATAGAGCTAAAAATCTAGTGCACCGTAGGCTTGTGTACAAGAGTTTGTATTGAATACATGCCTAATGAAACAAAGTGCAAATATTTCGGCTGACAAAGGAAGGTCACTGAACTTCACGAGATCATAGTGAGTGATCGTTAAGATAGGAATAAGGCTCCAAGGCCTATTCCCCTACAAAGATAGCATTATGAAGCTTATTTGTATTCGGTACAAGAACCTGGCCACCCATTCCTGTATCCAGACATCGTGGAACAAAAGTAGAAAGTACCATTCGGTGCCAAGGCATAAAATAACGTACCAGCTGAGTTTGGAAGCTTTGTCTGTAAACTAAAAGTCAGCGTCGAGGCTCCTACAGAACAACTGAAGCGCCCTCAAGAAACGTACCGCCCAGTAGGGGATGTTATGGAATCTTGGCGTCGCGCAGTGCCCAGAAGACGCGTCAGCTGCACTCCAATCTTCAGGCTGTCCACTTCTGTCGGCATCATGAGCCGCCTGTTTAAGGGCTTCCTGCGTGATGTTGATTCCGCCATTGACTGGGCAATTAATCATTGACGGGAATTGGTAGCAGGTATCACAGGAAGTAGGGGATGCAGGGGCGGCGGCATTGTTTTGGAGGGCGACCGCAGAAACAGCATTAATGCTGAGAGCAAAGGCAATAAAAGAGCTAATATGCATTTTAAAGATTGAGTAGAGCCTTAAGTTCAGGTATCGATGGGTCTTGGTTTGGAAATAGATAGTATAAGAGTGAGGAAATGCAAACCACCTTGTGTGTGCATTCCTTATATATGTGTAACGGGAGAGCTCTTGCCAGTGCCAACCTAGTATATTCATTACTTTTTAGGTTTCCTATAGTTGGCCTTTCTATAATATATTTCACAGTGTCAGCATATCAGCTGACTACATAAGGTTAACGAATTCGAAACATGCTACCACTCAGAACTCTTAAACAATATCATTAGATGAGAAATAGTTGCTGTAACGTGTTCCATTAATTATCCGCCTACATCAGTCATCAGTGTTCAACAGTCGTCCCTTGTCTCAATAGCTATTATCTTTATTGTTCTATTTTTGTAAATGGCAACGTACAGGGATCAAGACTAGACTGGCAGATTTAAAAATCTTATGTAGGTCTGTACGGATGCATAAAACACACAAGTTCCTTCGCCTAACCGACTCAAGTGCAATTTCCCGATACTTGCCGTCGACATAGCTTTGACCGCAGGCGTTATATCAGCTTACCATTACTACAGAAGTGTTAAGCCATACCATAAACCTATACCTAGAAAGAGTTAGCGCCTACTTAACTTATAGAGCTAAGAATCGATATACACAATTATTCTCTTAATAATTTTAATAAATCTAAGAGCATTTTGTTTTCACTATAGAAGTGACCGAGAAGGCTAGAGCTGAATCTCTTAGATATCTGGATAAAAAGAAAGAATGTCGCCTGAGTTGACGTAGGATGCGTGTACCTCGTGGCGACGAGACTTTCGATGCGCGGCCAAGAAGGAAAAGCTCTCCAGCGGGGAATTGAACTTCCAGAGGTGCGCGTCTGGATATCACCGGACAACAACGAATATAACAGGGCAACATAACGTGATAAGTGGATTTATTCCCCTTACTACGCGAGATAGGACTAGAGATTTTTGAAGCCAGTCATAAACACAATAATATCAAAACCTAACATCAAGCGGATTAGCAATATCCGCCAAGGCCTTGATTGATAGCTGCTCCCCTCGAAGTCAACATTCCCTTCCAATTGCATAGCTGCTCCTTCAGAAATCCAGGTCCCTACATTTAGCTTGCTCACTGGTCCCTCACAGCGCACGCCTGTGGCATTCTAAAGAAGGGTCGCTAGCTCAGTCTGGACTCACAGGGCCTTAATGGAGGGCCTCTTGAACTTGCATTGAGCGATTTTAACGGGCTTGACTAGTGGAAGCATAGCGACTGTTAAGCATAGGGATTATTCTAATCGGATGTGTAGTTTTGTTTCGAAACGAGATCGGCCTAGGACTCGTAATCGAGTCCGTGTTTTCAGCCAGTTAGATATCGGGGACCTGGAGCTTTAGTAAGCTGCGCGATTTAAAGCATCCACATCCACATCCGCATCCGCATCACATCCGTGTCCGCATCCGCATCACATCGGCCGCTCCCTTTGGACAAGGACGAGCCTTGGTTCGCTAAAGTTCAAGGGCGCTTCCGTATTAAAGTGCCGCTACATTGATAACTTTTTGATACAGCAACATTTTAAGCAGAGTTCGCGTAGTTTCACATATTTTCTATATATCTCGGTGGTCCGGCCACTTGTGTAGCCAGACAGTTTCGCCGTTATGGCTAAGATCACAATCAACGTCATCATAGACTTAGGGTGTCCCTTCGTAAGTATGCTGCAAATCACAGAATTATCGCGTTTAAGAGCTTATCTTAATTCCGAAAACAGTGCTACGTAGCCTTAAAACGTATCACGAGAGCTATTCAGACGCACCAAGATAGATGTCCTGACGATTCGATCATAGTCCAGTGGCATCCGATGATTCTTCAACCAAACGCACCTAAGGTCTCCATAGATATTTCAACCTACATTGCCTCAGTGTTTGGACCAGAGGCGCGAGACGCAAAATTAGAACGCGAACAGACGCTTGGTCGCGCCGAAGGCATTAATTTCAACAATTGCCGCAAGATTGGCAGCACATACGATGGTCATCGCTTGGTGCATCTTGCTGGCGAGAAATCCAGCACGGTGCAGCTTGCTGTTGTAGAAAGGTTGTTCAAAGGTCATTTTGAGGATGGCCAAGACCTGTCATCCCATGACTTTCTTAAGAGCGTAGCCGTAGAATCAGGCATTAGGAGATCGGAGGCTAAAGCTTGGTTAAATTCACGCGCAGGTGATATTGAAGTTGACGAGAAGATTCGCAAGGCAACTATGAGAGGAGTCAGAGTCGTTCCCGACATCACTATTGCTGGGCGCTATCTAATTGGGGCTGGTTATGACACGAACTGTTTAATTTATATACTAGGAAAAGCTAGAGCAGGGGAAGTCTAAGAGTACTGTTTCAGAAGATTGGAATGATTAGCTGGAATTGCTTAAAAACAGGTAGTTTGACCAGAGGATTCCCAGTAACGTCTCCGACCTCAAAGCATTATAAAGAGAAATATAATTAGTTGGAGCACAATTCAATTGAGAAGGCTGCAATGCTGCCAGCAGAAAGGTAGCGCATCTTGTCGAAGGCTAGCTACTGTCCCGCAAAAAATGTCCCATACTTAGGTCACTTAAAGTCAACCTTGAAGGTTGAAAACTTGAATAACGTAGAAAAAACCGACGCTTGCGCTTTGCAAATGGGTCTACAACCTTAATAAGCATAATATGCTTCACACGGCTGTAGCAACGCTATATCTTAAATGGACTAGATTGCAAGGTTAAATGCATGATTTGCAGTACAATATACAGCATAGATAGCACGGAATAAGAAAATGTCACGAGAAAACACCGCAACCACGGAAAAGAATGCTGATATTGCGCATTCTTGCTATGCCCCCTTATGGAGTGACGGGTTCGCTAAAATTTCCCCCTAACACACCAAGTCATTGGACACTAGAACACTGGAGACTTTAGGTGTCGACGAGACAGCAACGTTTTAATATCAATTCATTGTGGTCTGGTGACTGTACATGAGGCAGCGATGCCATATTTGTTAACAGGCGGCTCACTGAGCCAATCTTTTCCACGACTTCCTTGCCGAGACTCTGTCCCACCAAGCCTGCACACTGGGACGAGTTCCAACCAAATCACCCTCGTTGACTTCGAACAGCTTCGAAATTAACGGCATGTAAAAAATGTCTACCAAAGAGAAATTGGTGCCGCCCAGGTAATCCTGCTTAGCAAGGATACCATCGAATACGTCAAGCTTTTCAGCAAGAGTTTTCTTTGCGTTCTCGAGAGCTACCTCGTCAACAGGCTGACCAAACATGCTTCAAAAGGTTCAGTGATGCTTTCATACAGTGCTTGTATATACAACTTACGGGCGGATCTTCTTCTGGGTGAATATTTCCTGGGCGAAGTGATCGAAATTGTTTTGCTCAACAGAAGCCCACTGTTCAAAGAGAGCCCACGCTTTCTCATCCTGGAAGGAAGGAAGAAGAGGTGTGCCCTGGTTAGCGAACTTTATGGCTAAGAAACGCGAAATTGCGCGTGACTCTGCAGATCATTAATTCAGTTACGAAGAGAAGAGCTCACAGCGAACTGACCAAACAGGACGAAGTCATTATCTTCGAGGATTGGAATCTGACCAAAAGGATGCTTCTTTCTGTACTGCTCGGTCTGGATTTCGTGATTAGTTCATCCACAACTAAAACGTGAATTTATTTACCTTGTGCTCGCCAGCACCAATGTTCGGAGCGTGCAGCGTGAAATCTTCGACTCCTTTCTCAGCAAGGACAAGTAGCGGGCGAAGCGTGCAGATTGAGTGCGCAATGCCCGTAAGGTTGAACGACATGATGAAGACTGAAATCGATAATGTTGCGTGCAAAATTCTCTAGGATCTGCCTGTTAGAATAAGCGCCCTACAGTTCGTGATTTAAGTAGCAAGTTCAAAGTCCGTTCATCCGCTGCGGAAGAATGCTTCGTAATCTGTGTGCCGCAGCTTTTGAGCAGAGGTGAGTCAGTACCAGCCGAGTGATCAAGATGACGTACACCTCTTTTGAATTGCTGACTGATCGAATTTAGGTACATCCGCATTCCCAGGTGCGGGATGAATCTTTCCCTCAACCAGTAGACCTTGGCGGGATGCTTTGATTACGATAAGCCTGCATTGAGATCTTCTGCGGACCAAAATAAGTCCGAGCCACTCTTTGATGTGGCACTTGGTATAACTAGATATGCTGCTAAAGTTTTTTCCGAACTTCGGATTAGTCACACATATTCTTGAATGATCGCATTTTTCAAGCGGTAGGTCCAGTGCTATAGATTATGTTGAATCAGTTGCCTCGTTCCAGTTTGTCATGTCGGCTACGGCTAATGAGTGCATCCCTGTACTTTCCGGAGACGACCTAGTTTGTATTCTATCATTACAAGCGATGCGTACTGCTTGCTGAAGCGTCTTCACTCACTGATACATGTGCTCCTGTGTCATTAGCTTTTTAACAGGACATAATGTGTGGGTACTGTCATTGCGATGTTTCAAGCAGTTCTAGCTGGAAACTAGTAATTCTAGGTGGTTCATCGCTCTGTCTACATTCGTATGGTTGTAGCGTGCATGATACGGTATGCGGACGAGAAAAAAAGCGACTAAATATGCTATCTTCTTCCAGCAACCATCTCGATTGAATCATTCCCGACTAATAGTTCCTCCCTTAATTGCTGAGCGAGAAATTATAGTTGCTAGGTTTCAGGATTTCTGGGACAAAGTCACCGTACTGTTCGTCCGGCCTGCCCAGGTCGAGAATGTCGCAAAAGAGTTTATGCGCCTTGCCACTCAACATTGGCACGTTGCTTAATAGTCCTTCTGCAAGCTGTAGCCAGTCCACGACTTGTGCGAACTTTGAACATATTGACTGGATTTCCCATGTGTCAGCTTATCGCTGTAGAACTGGCAAGGAGCCCAGCTTGATTGCTTACCTCCCTTCTTTGTTCAAAAACCGTCACCTCTTGGTCAGTTTGTGAAGCGATTAGCGCACAAGTTGCAATGCTCCAGAATCTCCTACAGCTTTCGATAAGCTGGTGTACTTCGCATCCCTCTGATTTTAGCCGCTCTAAATATCGAACGAAGTTGTGAATGAGTTCGACATCGGTTTCAGCGTGGGCCGATGCTGGATATGCAAGGGTTTCTGACAGTAAAACGAGGATTGCGGAGAGTGGAAAGCACAGCGTTTGCCTTGTTAGGTTGTCAGCTTCAAGAGATTGGTCACCAAAGATGACTTATGGCAAATCTACCAGAGGTGTGTGAAGGGTTGGGGTTGCAATCGGAGCAGCACATCAAGTGTTCCACGGGCTGCCATAGCGCACCTAGCTCTAGCTATCCTGCTGGTACTGAAGGTTTTGTTTGATGCGGGAGGCTGTACTTCTTGCATATCCGGATTCCATGTTGCCAGGTCCAATAAGACTGCCGCTACCATACTGGTCTTGCTAATGCAACTGAGATGAGTGTAGTGCAACATAGCGACAGGCATCTCGAGGCGCGGCGTCCCGTACGCTCTGGAACTAGGATGGGTTTCTATAGGCATGAAACATTTCCATTCCTCAAGCTCTTGGTGGATCTTTGTGACGGCTTCTAGCAGATCAGTGATTTCCTGCATGGACAGTCGCCTGAAGGAAACTCGTTCAAGCAGCTTGTGTATCCGCAACTTTGCAACGGCAAAAACTGCTTGTTGTCGAAGAATGCCGCCCTTTTGTTGCCTTGAAAGGCGTGCCATGTGATCGACATGACTGAAAACATGACAGTGCTCGACTTCGGGGAGTTCAATGACAATACTCTCTTCATCTAGCGGTGAGGGTAAGCCATATCTGTGCGTCACATCAGCGTTCAAAATGTATACAGCCCAAAAAATCCGTTTATGTCTTTCTGCTACTTCGGCATCGAGACCAATATAGTATTCCTGCTTTTGCAAACCAAGCATATGGGCCATGTGGGCTGCAGCCGCTGTCAGCTGTGCAGCGAGGCCGGCATCGGCTGTGCGTAGCATGAACAAGGCCATGACCAGTAGTGTTTCGCAAGATGCTATTACAGGTCTTCGAGCTACGAGCTCGGCGTACATCGCGAATGCGTTCTTGAAGAATGCCCATGCGATCGATGAAATTGCGGTGAGGGATCTGTTATCTGTCCTGTGGAGCGCAGATACTGCAAGGAGTGAGCACACAGTCATCCATCGGCACGGGTCGCTGTCGCTGTCGTCCAGGCCAGCAATGTACTGCTCGTCAAGTTGATGCAGAACGATTTCTTCTTCGAGGAAGATACCATGGAGCTGGATTTCTTCGATTACTGGCTGCAGTAAACACACGGTATGCTGTTTAGGAGGAAGGCATGCGAAGACCTTTCTTCCAGAGCAGCCCAGATCCACCCGGGTCTGCATTTGTTTCATTGTCGCGTGAACGTCCGCGGCAAACGCTGCAAATTTCTTGGCGGCTGCAGGCAGTGTTTGTGCGGTCTCGTCTGTGGTCCACGGACCTTGAGCCGGATCGTCCATCGCAGTATATCTTGGAGTGGTCTGTTCTATGGAAAGCTTTGTCAGATATCCACACTCCGTACTGTCACCCCCATACTCACCTTCGCTGGAGTCTTGAGTCGTCCTGCCACTGTGTACTTCGTTGTAGCTTCTTTGTATATTGATCTCAAGGAGTCGTGCTGTAGAGGCTAATCCAGACGATAGATTATTGTGAATCAGCTGTTGCATAGGATGCACGCTGACCTCTTTGCTGGAAAACATGAGTTCTTTATCTGCTTCTTCGGCGCTCCAGCGACGGCTTACTTCTTTCCAGGGCCCCGTTGTCGCCGCGCTGTGTATACGCAATCTCTACTGTGCTTTGCACAGTGGTTACAACAAGGCTTTCCTCCATCACAGCGTCTTTTTCTTTGCTGACATTGATGGCACGCCTTTTTGGTATCATTATCGGAGCTCGTGTCTCTTTCAGGGAGCAAGTAGAAGAAAAGAGTGCTTACGTTGGTGATTCTTTTGCGATTGAGCATTTCTGCGAGAGTGTTGGCTTCTAGTGTTGCTTCGGCGCTATATATCCTGCATTGAACATGCTAGAAAAACACCAAAAGATGGTTTCGGTAAACTCGTGTTGGTTGTGGGGAGGGCTACTTAGTACCGAGGACGGACGCAACACGATCATGTGATTTCCGGTGCCTCCCTAGTGCGATTCGAATCCTACCTTGACGAAGCGTCGATCAGAGAGCACGCGCTGTCTGAGGTCAATCCTGTGAAGAAATTCTGAGGCTCGCGTCGATGCTGGAGGCACACTTGCGCCCGAATACGATGTGGAATGATGACACAGAAGACTTGACCACAAACGGCATGGCATGCGGATGCATTTTGTATCCGCATAGCAACCACCCAAAAAAGTAAGCTGAACACCCCACCCAACCTGACGCGACGCTCTCCTTAACTGCCATTATGCTGCGCCAATAACGCTCTATATGGACTACTCGTGAACAGACAATAAGTCTTGCTATAGCAATCTATCGTAATAATTTAAAGCATTCTATCTATACTCTCGCAAAAGTGTACGGTAACGTGTTTCACCACTAAGCCGTCAACCCCACCAAGTCGTCAGCTCGAAATCTCACCAAAATTAAGAAATAACAGAGGTACCTATCTCTATAACTACGTACTTATAAACTTTAAAATTTTTAATTATATTTATTTTATATTAAATAAATATATAGATAGATATTTTAAAAAACCTTTTAAGTAGTTATTAAGAGATAAAAAAACTCTAGTAAAATACATTATATAATTGAGATTTTCTAAGTGTAATAGCTAAATAAGAGGGTAGACTCTTTAAGGCTTTTTAATTATATTTATAAAAGCACTAATATTATACTATTAGATTTTTAAAGTTTATTAAGAAGTATTTATAGTGATAGATACCTCTATTATTTCGTAATTTTAGAAAGATTTTAAGCTGACAATATAGTGGGGTTAACTATAACGGGCTGAACGCCCTTTAGATAAGCTCCTCGATAGAATCTTGGTTTAAGCTGTACGCACGCCATCCGAACTACGTTTAGATAATAAGCGTAGAATCTAGATATTTGTTACACGGGGTCTGGATTGCTAATACTTCTCTAGCTCGATCCGGGTTAGGGCGAGTAGGATTAGGGTTAGCGCCGTGAGAGTTGCCTAGCGATTCTTAATAGAAAAGAGGTATAGATATAACTAAGGGTTTAATAATACTAATCTATTTAATAGACTAATATATAACTATCATATAAAGTAAAGATACTAGTAAGAAAGTATAATTTAAGTTAACTATAATAAGAGTAAATAATAAAACCTATTTATCCTTATATCCTTATTACTTCTAGTGTTATGGGCGAAGAGGCCTTCGAACGAGTTTGCATTAGCCTATGGTACAGAAGAAGAAAGATAAGAAGAGTTAAGCTGTCGTACGACACTTCTCTCTTTATACCTCGCTTCCTATTCTTCGTACGAGTAAGTTCTAGCTA